AGCTGGTCGTATCTTGAAAATTTCGTAAGTAGGGGCGTTCATAAGTAGAGGTACCACTGTAAAAGTCAGTTCTCTCCAGGCATCCTGGTAAAAAGATCCTGTTGTATGCCACCCAAAGTCCTTTTTTGAGAGATGGACAGCTATATAAATAATATCAATCAATCAATATCTATTTTTAGGGATCATAGCTACAGTCTGCCTCTCCCAACATTCTGGAACCCACTTCACAACAGAATGAGAAGGTTGAGCCCACCTTTTCTCCCAGCCAGGTCTCAATTATATCCACCATAATCAAATCATAAATAATTTTGTTTTTGCTCTAAAATGACCTGTACTTACAGAGAAGCAAGATTAAATTCTACAGTTAGGATTGTTTCCTATTTTGCCATCTGTTCTATTCCCCACAGCTGGAATCACTGCTCCCACCTTACTGAACATCTCCGCTACTCCTCCCTCAGTTTGAGCACAGATGCATCCTATAACCAGTCTGTTTGTAACCACTAAAATTGGCTGACATTAAACATAGCTCTCCCATAGAACTTAGTCAGCAATTTTGGGTGTGGACAGGAGACAGGCTATCTACTGGCAGCTGCATCTATGGCATGTTTCCATCTTTAAAAGTCAAAGACTTCAGCACTACATCTCTCACATGGGCTCTAAATCCTGGCTGATAAAATAGTTTTAGAGCTGCAGCTTATTAGGAGAGGCAGGACAAAGACAAAAGCTGGAGATTTTTTAATCAGGTCTTTTTCACTATCTCTGGGCAAGGGAAGAGGCAAAACAAACTCTAGAATGATTTTTATGGCTGGGTTCACACATGCTATCACAATTTAATTGCAACTTATTTAATGTTAAGCTATAACATGATTTATTTGGTTTTGTCTTTCTATCTTGTATGAAAAGCTTCTATTTTTGTTTATAGTCCAAAGGCATTTACTTGTCTGATTGCTTTAGAGCAGGTTCCTTTATTTAACAATTCAAGAGTAAATAAGTCGTAGCCTATAAGCTAGTAACAATAGCAATTCACTAAATTGTTGACATACGTAACTTTAAAGAAAAAATAATGACAGAAAATCTGTCTGTTTTGATGATGACCAATATGATCATGTGAAGATCAACTCCTTTTTTCTGGCTTAGTTGGGACAAATGTTCAAATAAGCCATGGCATAATCAGTCTTAGGATGTGCACATTCCAATTTTCATTTATTTCCAGAAAGGGCATTTAAATGTCTTGGTACAGAAGTTCATACTTGGGAATATTCTTTGGATCAATTGGGCTTCTTACAATGAGTTTTCCACGCATCGCTCCCCGATAGATCACTTCAATCAAATCTATGAAGTCTTGTTTTGTTTTGAAGCTTCCAACAAACTTGGTATGGTCTGGAGATCTATTTAGGAAAAAAATAGTATAAAGCCAAGTTTAAATCAGAAATACACATAATTCAAAATCTGAATCTACAAAGTCCCCTCACTTTTACAGCATATATTTGTGAGCCTTTTAAATAATCTTGCAAGATCAAATTAAAAGTTCATCTAGTCTAGCATATTTCTCAAGGACCTTAATAAATGGGTAACGAAACTTATAGCTTCAGGACCTACAATTTGCAGTTTCTACTTAGGCATTATGGCTAACAATCAATGATAGAACATTATCTATTTCTGATATAAAGCTGATGTCCAAGTTGTACTTCACAATTAAAAGTTAACTGCAACAGTGCTTTATGGTAGAACTATTTATATACTGATTCAATGTGCTTGGTAATAAGTTTTATCATTTGTGATAGGACTTCCTTTTCAGAAATCCAGTTTGGGATTCTATGATCCACAAAGACTTCAGCATTAATTTGTTAACCCTTTTGTGGAATGATACCATTTGTCAATATAATAAATAATCCCTCTTAGTCGTTGAATTAATACACTGACTCATGCCATAGTTTGCTGAATACAATTGCACGCAAAGGTTTAGGCTCCTCTGGTTGAATTGTATGTTTCTAACTGAAGAGAAGCTGTCACAAACTCTATAAGATACAAAGTTAAACATTTTTCTGCAAATTTGAATGCATGTTTACTATTTACATGCACTTGTTTATAGATTTAAAATAAGAAAAAATGAATAAGGCATGGGCAAAATATTAAATATTTGGCAGCCCTTAGTGAACTTTATTTAGCCTATTGGCCAGCTTCCCATCCCCATATTGCCCTTTGGTAGAAGTCAAGCCAACCCATCTTAGTGACATTCAACTATTATTATTTTGCCTGCTTACACATCCTACACTTCCAAATTAATGGGCAAAAACATGTGATAGAAACAATTTCTTGGCTCTGCATTCTTGTTTGGTTTTGCCTTGGCGTATTCTGTGCCTAGTTAAATCACAGCAATTCAGACCAAAATCAAACAAACTATATAAAGCTGTGCATAATACACAGACTCAGCCATAGAATAAGAAAACTAATACTAACCAACATGATTATACATAGGCTACATGCAAGCCAACTTACCCATAATCCACTTTTATGTGCTGCCCATTGAAAAAGAAGACAGTTGATGGAATATAACTAATGTCAAAATACTGAGTGTACACTGGGACCTTGCTTACATTCACCAAATAAACTGCAGCCATTTTACTCAAGTCATGAAATGTTTTTGCAAGCTGTAAAGAAACCAAAGTTATGTGATATACTGAATGTATGAAGAAAAGAGTCAAAGCCTTTAATAAAACGGCAATCAAAAACAGAATAATTTAAACCCCAATATACTGAGATCCTTTGTGACTGAGACATAAGGAAAAGACATAAAATAATTACATGTACTTTTTGAAATTCAATAGCAATAATTGTGGCCTGGATTTGAAGCAGGATAGCAAGGATAATACTAAACAATCCATCCACTTGAATTATTAAGAGAAACCTTGTTCTTTATCCTGCTAGCATCAGATGTGTGGCTGATAAAAATATAGATGAGACTTTTGTTCACTATGTAACATCCCAGCTCAGGAAATCTATCTGGACCCCTCCTTGGTTTCTGACATCAAATGAAAATATTTTTGGATCAGCAGACCTTTTGTGATACATCTGTGTGGCTTTACCTCATTTTCCTTCTTAGGCACAACCCACAAGCCACTTCCATTCTTACCTTATGTAGCTTAGAAGTAATTCCCATTGATTTTAACTCCCTTATTTCAGAATACTGTACAGAAGTAGGTCCTGCTGAGTTCCACTTTCCACCATTTTCTTCTAGTATTCAACACTGCTCCCCTCTCAGAATTCATTCTACTGGAACTAACATTAATGCACCCAGGATTTGGCATTTCTTAGGTTCCATTTCCCCTTTCCTGTTTTATCTATTAAGAATACAAGCTTACAGATGGAATACTTGCCTCCCTAACAGTTTTTCCAGCAAACAGAAAATCTGTATAAAACTGGTAAACAACAAAATATTCCCTCCCCAAACTTTTGTAACACTTTCCATGTCTCGATATAATATTGTCAGGAAGCCAAGGAATGCATAGCAGGAATCCTTTTAAAACACACAATTCCCTTTATGTTAGGCTCTTCTTAGATCTAAATTATGTAAACCGATGTCGTTTTATTTTGTTTATTCGGACAAAGCCCTAATAAAGAGCAAATATACAATTAGGAAAACCCTTGTAACTCCTGATGTACACCGCTTAGATTCGGGAACTGCAAATAAATAAAAGTCAAATGCTGGCTTACAATGTTATCCAGTTGCATGCAGACAAGATCTTCATCTCTACCAAAGCGAAGAACCAGGACTTTCTCCGCCACGGTCTTGATCGCCTCATCCACCTCCTTTTTGCTGTTTAATTTAGGCAGCAGGAAACTCATGCCAGCTGACAAGACCGCGGGCGAAATACTTCCCTTGGAGGCTAGTAGAATGTCTCGCGATAACACACACTCACGCACGCAAGCTTGTTTTCGCGGAAAAAGGAAACTGTCAAGGACTCTCAGTGAATAACAAGGAGCTTCGCCAATCAATGGCAACTTCCGCTCAGTGCAGTTTGCTACAGAACTTGCCTTCTCTGACGGAACCATCCGCCAGAGTCATAGTTCTGGGAGTTTCCGGTGGGGTATGTTTAGGGACGGACCCAATCCGGATCGGGCGTGCGCGCGTGGTTGTGCGTAGAGGTAAGTATGGGAGATATTAAAAAGTAAGATTCTTCATTAAAGCAACATGGAGCCTCATGAATGCAGTCCATTTTATCACCTAACAAAGTGGGCTCTAACTATAATAAATTTGGTTTTGCAAAACTAATTAACATTGTTATCCCACTTGAAATTCTTCAGTAGACGATACCCATTTTAAATATGGGAAGGAGGTGATGGCTGACAGTTTTAATGTTGCCGAATATGTCAGTCAATGAAATAGGAAAATGTGAATGAAGCAACACATTGTATAGTTTCTGACTCTAGCTAGGTATACAGTGAAACTTGGGTATGTCTATTCCAAGTCTGTTCTACTGAATTCAGTATGATTTCTTCCTGTGCTACAGCTGGCTAACCTTAGCTGATTTCGGAAAAGCACATCAGAATCAAGCTTTAGTACAGTATTTAGATCAGAAGCCACCAAAAATATCTGCATTGTGGACTAGACTAAGAAAACAAATCACAGAAGAAGGCAATGGGAAACGAATATTATTGCCAAGAGAACTACATGCCCATGTAGTCAACAACAGTTGTGCTCAACCCAGGCAAGTCTTTAACAAGTGGACTGTATCTCACTGAAAATAATTAGGTTCAATATAATAGACCTGCTGGGCTGTGGGCAGTTCTCAGTAATAAATATTATAATGTAATATAATGTGTGGACTTTATGTGTCTGTAGAATTGCAATTCTAATATTAATATCAGAAAATATTTGTAGACATAACTGAAAAATATTAGTTCTCTTTGAGTGGACATGCTTCACAGTAAGGAGAAGAGTACCAACCATCTCATTGTCTGCTTTCATTATGTTCTATCAATGGTTTTATTAGCTTCCATGTGTTGGGAAGGGAATTTTTCTGGCAGAGCTTTTTTTCCTATGTGTGATCTCCTTATCCAGTAGAAAATGCTGAAAAATCAGGGTTGTAAGTTATGCAGGATGACAGAGCTAGAGATAGTGATGCATCAGTGGGGCAATGCCCAGTTTTCTAGAGTTCTGTGATTAAAAATGAACGATTGCTTTATGGAAGTCTTTCCTGCCACTGTTTTTATCATAAAGGCAATCATAAAGGATGACAAGTGTATTTTAATTTGTTTAATAGCTACATTTGACAAATAGCTTTTGTATAGCTTAGAAAGCACCTCCTTATAAAACTGTTAATCTTAGTTGAGGCCAAAACACCAAATTTTCTGTTAATGCTTTAACTGAAACCATGCAGAAACTAGTTTTAAATTTCTAAAAGCTATTTTTCTTTTCTAGAACTTGAGACCTTCAAAGGTGTGTTACTATCCACAAATATAGCAAGTGACTAAATACTTAAAAATAAAAGGTAATGTAATTTTATAAAATTGAGCATGAAAC